AGAAAGTATTTAGAGTTACTACAGCTGGAATAAGGGTTCTGTTAATAATAAACACATTTTGGATTAATTTTTATAGGAAACACCCTCCTTAGGGATGAGTGTTCTACACACAGATTTCTACACATGTGGATTTCACACTCTAGGGATCGTGAACCTTAGGACTCTGTGCATGCTGAGAATTAGTTACACATCTTGCATGGTGGAATTCACTGTGGAACTGGGTTGCAGCTCCACCAACACCTCACTGGCAGCCAGAGCACGAGCGCAGTCAGAAAAAGAAGACATGTATCCTATACCCAATAAAAGTAACCTGTGTCTATCAAAACATCATCAAATGCAGCCTTATACATGTAATCTTAACAACAGTAGAATCATCTATTCACTAGGTTATACCTAAACCCAGGTATAAGACACATACAAAATTCATATGTATTAGCAAGGTACTTAAAATGTTTTACTTTTTTGCTGTATTAAAACTTAATGGAGGGCCGGGGAGATGGCTCAGTAGAGTAAGCGCTTCCCTGACAAGTGCAAGGGCCTGAGTTCAATCCCTGGTTCTGCCAAAAAACAAACAAACAAACAAACAAACAAACAAAGCTTAATGGAATAACTGAAATCATAGCAAGGCCCATATATGTTTATTTTTTAAAAAAAATCTCACTAGCATAAGGAAATGTAGTGTAAAACTACATGAAAAGTCAATGATAAGACAGAACAACAAATAAGAAATATCAATAAGGTTTTGAAAAATGAAAAGTAAATGAATTATCAGACCTGGAAAAAACCCCACAAACAAACAAACAGCACAAAGGGCTTTTAGAAGCAGATGCTAATAGCAGGTGAACCAGCTCATGTGGAAAAATTCTAAAAAGGCTCAAGAAATGAAGACACAAAATCACTGAGTTCAAAATGGGGAAAGGTGGCAGGAAGAAGTGAGGGTTTAAAAGCTTGTATGAGTTTTGAGTTCACAATAGCAGATTAAAGACTAATTTTGGAGCATCACTGGACCCGTCATAAGCACCATACTGAGAACAAGGAGTTTAGTGAAAATCTATATACTGAATTGGGAGAGACCTCTCCACCTCAGAACCTCTTTATATTACCTGATTTCTATAGTAGTGGCACTACCCACGATCATACCAGTAAGACATTGAATGTTTTATTTTCTTCTCTAAAGGAACTATAGGAATGTTCCCACAATAAGTTGATCAGTCATCTTTTCCTCTACTCAAAGTCTACATGAAACATCTCAGTGGACAAGTATAACATGAAAATAGTTTTCAAGTATATTTTAGTGTCTTTTAAATGATACGGAGGGACTGTAGACTTAAAAAAATTCTGCAACATAAAAGGATCAAAACATACAAGAGCTGGGAAGAAACAAAGACAGTGCAGGAAGCAAGGAAAATGAAAGTTCAAAAATATTCTTACTCCTAGATAGCTAAGAGTAAATATTGCATCAAAGAAAGAAACAAAAATAAGATGCTATTCAAAAAGAGGAAAAAAGAGCAAACTGGGAGAAAAAAAATTAAAATAAAAATAGAAGTAATAAGAAATAAAAAAAATGTTTGGAATAGTAACTAATAAAAATGTCATATGAAATAGACTATAAAGACGGAATAAAGATGGAAAGAAGGCCTTGAAGAAAAAAAAATCAGGATTCAATTCTGAAGATACAAAAGTTAACAGAAATTGCATAAAGAAAAATAAATATATCAAAAAGGAAATAATATCGTAATTTTTTTCAGAAAGAGAAAGCTAAATTGAAAAGATCTGTTGATATAAAAGCAAGACTATGGGAGCCTGGGGCAGGAGAATCACAATTTTGATACCACATGGGCAACTTAGTGAGACCCTATCTCAAAGAGAGAAGGAAAGTCTGGCCAGATAACTCAGTGGGTTAAAAGTGCCAGCTTAGGCAGACTCAGGGAACTGGGTTCTATCCTGGAGGTGCCATGCTGGCCTTACCTCTGGGGCGCACTGAGACGGGCATGGTAGTGTGTGCCTGTAATTTCAGTGCAGGAGGCTGAAAACAGGAAAATCTCTATGAGTCCAATCTATGTAGTGAGACCCTGCAGGCCCTGTACTACATACATTAAAAAAAAGAGAAAGAGAGATGGATGTGTAGCTCATTGTGAGGGCTCTGTGCTCAGTTCACAGTAGTGAGTGCGCACGCACACACACACACACACACACACACACACACACACACAAATGGGTGATAAGAAAAGAAAAAAGGCTTACTGAGCTTCTAATGCAATGAACTGAAAAATAATTACATCAAGGCACGTTATTGTAAAATGTCAAAACATACAGGATAAAAAGATTATTTTAAAGGCTTAAGGAAAATTAAAAGTTAATGCATAAAGAATCAAGAACATCTGATTTCTTAACAGTTCTTTAATCCATAAAATGAAAGGTAAAAGCCTTTTAAATTCTCAAGAGAAAAATATTTACAGGCTAAAATTCTACTCAGAAATGCATGGTTGTAAAAAACATACCACTTCAGTATAGGCAACTGGAAGATATACTCCAGTATGTGGAAAGAGAAACAATATGGAAAGAAGATATGAGCTCCAATAAAATGAAACAAATACAAATGAGCAACGTCAATTCTACCACAAGTGTCGAAAACTGGTCTACAATAGAATAGGAGAAAAGCTTCTACAAGAAATAGCTCTAAGGAAAAAAAAAAAAAAAAAAAAAAAAAAAAACAACTCTTGGAACACAATGGTGTTTGGGGAAACATATTTTGAAAGAAGTTCTAAAATTCTTCTGTAATATCTGTGAAAATTATTCAAACTAACATATAGCACAGTGTGAATAATGTAAAGGGGCCATCTTGCAACACTGTATGGAAAAAATATAAATGTATTTGACTCAGTGATATGTACATGGTCACAGTAAGGTAAAGTGTGAGTATTAATTTAACCACAAAGTAATAAGACTATGTGGGGATGATAGGAAAGGAAGGACATTAAAACACTAAGAAAATGGTTAATTCTCACTATCAACAATAGGCAATCAATAAAATATGTAAGTATATTACTAAGAAATATAAAGGTTAAAACCAAAAGGTGCCAAAAGAGTTTGGCAAGGGTCAGCAGTGGGTAAAGGAGGAGGATTTGGGTTTGTGCTGTGTGTTTCGGAGTGCAATTGGACTATTTTTAAAAACCACTTATTTAATTTATTTATTTACTTACTACAGGATCTCAGTATGCAGCTCAGACTCATAGTGATCCTCCTGTCTCAGCCCCCTTAGTGCTGGGATTACAGGCATGCACCACCACACCCGGTTTCTATGGCCAGCTCAGCAAGGGGCTGGCATGGCATACAGTACAGGTGATCGAACCCGGTCCTTGCACTTGCCAGGCAGGTGCTTATACCTTTAAGCTATCTCACCAACCCTGATATTGGACGTTTAAAAGATGTCCTTGAATTACTCTATTTCTTAAGTAAAAAATGTCATAAACCTATATATATGGTGATAAAGCGAGCATACCTTACAAGTATAAATATGAGACATATAACCTAGGAAAATTACTAGCACCTATAGATAATATATAATATATATTGTAATTACTACAAAACAAAATTACTCTAATACTATTTAACCTCCCAGTTATATGCTATATACTGCATCATGCCAATTTAATAAAAAATGTTATTTAACAACAGTATCTTTAAGTTTCTGATAATATACTATTTCCATGTTTTGTACTCAAAAATAGTTAATTGTTCAGAATCTGAGGTAGTTTTTAAAGGATTTCCCTTTTTGTTAAGAACTTGCAAGGTTGAATAAGTTTGAAAAATACTTTCTTCTGAAATAAAAATTTTTGTATTGCATTATATAAATAAAACAATATATCTATAAACATTCATCCTCCTATGTCTCTATCTGGGTTTGTGATACTTTGGTGATAATATATTTGGCAAATTATTAAACTCATAACAATGGAAACTTGAAACTGTCATGCAAGGTGGTACAGAGGGTAAAGCATTTTATCTTTGTTGAGAGTCAGACCTAGACTCAAGTCTTTGCTTACTTTTTTTTTTTTTAAATTGTTATTGGATCAACTGGCCAAACTGGCAAGTGGATCATTGAGTTGGGCACGGAAATGAAAAAAAACTGGTTCTCTCTGAATGAATGATTTGACAGTCCGCACAACCTCGTGAAGGATAGAGCCTACTAACATCTTTGAGGGCAGCTATGATTTTTCTCTTTGACTTTTGTATTATTTTCAACCGTTGGAAAAAGAACTTTGATCATTTCACATTATCATATTTGTATGTCAGTGAATGGCAATTAGAATACTACTTGGGAAATATGCACTTAAAGTGCTGTTTAATAGAAGAATGAATTAGGCTATCCAGGCACTCCTGAAACCCTATCGTTTTATCAGAGCAGCAGCTAGAGGCAAAAACAAAATACTACACTGTTTTTTAAACGACTCTGTTGAACTGCATAATATCCTAAGCCCACCAATGTGCAAGTTCCATTTTGTCTCTTAATGATGCAAATCTAGATGGAAAATTTATTACATACTTGAGTTGCTTCAAGAAGTGCAAAGGTAACGCAGTCACAGCTTGCCACCCCCAGGAACTCCTACTTAAAATGAAGTCACAAGCAAGGCCTTTCTACTGTACAAAACTTCCCTTTTATAGGGAGTTTGCTTAAAAATGTAAGCAATTTCACAGATGGAAGGTCTGAGTAATTTCTTAAAGGTCATATTTCCCTCCAAAACGGATTTCCTTACGCTTACATGCTCATTATGCTGGGTAGAATATTTTACTTATTGTTCAATGTTGAACTTAAGGTTAAGATGACTTCTAAATTCTATAATTTTGCTGTCTGTAGCAGAGATCTTTAAATAAATAATTAACATGGCAATTTTCTTACCTTATTCTTTTTTTTTTTTTCAGTACTGGGGATTGAACTCAGGACCTTGCACTTGCCAGGCAAGTGCTTATTCTACTGAGCTATCTCCCCGGCCCCTTACCTTGTTCTTGTGCATGAACAGTAATCCAAGCCACACATAGTACAATGAAATGAGGGAGTAGTTTCCTAAGAAAGAGAAAAAGAAAACAATGGTTGGACATTGACAACATCTAATCCATATAAAGTAAAGTAAGCAAGATTAACAATTAAACTAATATTCTAATTCTAATTATGATCAAGGGCTCTGGATTCGAGTTCCTATTTTAGGATTTATTATGTGATCTGCACACTATCACTTCATGTCTCTGAGTCTTCATATGTTAATCTTATTTCATAAAGTCTCTTATAGATTAACTGAAAAAGTTCATGCAAAGCACCTAACGCTACACATAGCACGTAAGAACTTAGTAAATATGAACTAATGGGATATGGAATATTATTGATGTTATCATATATTACATCAAATTCCCATACATATGATTGATGTAAAGTAACAAAAATTATATTAAATAATGCAAATTACATCCACTACAGTGATTATAAGTTGATTGAACCACCTACTTATTTATGTAGATTAATGTTCATTTGTGAAAGCCATTTGGATATCATAGTTAAGTCATTTGTACAAACTTCTTGATTCTTTGGTTCTGAAAATAGCAATGGCCTGTAGTGTCAATGTTGAGCATTTTGATTATTAATTGCGAGTGTAATAGCTAACAACTACAAATAAAAATATTTACTCAAATTGATTGGCTATTAAGAAAAATATTGTGGCATTTTTTGTATAGTCAAACATTTTTGTTGGATGTTCTTATTAATTAGCTCAATCTACCTCCCAGATGAAGTATACACAATTTCAAGAAAGTTAGAGTGATCACGCTGAGTCTTTACTATTTCTTCCTAATTTAGACTCTGATTCTATTTTTATTTTAACTCAAAGGCTTTCTCAGATATTTCCGTAAAATGTTCTTCAAAGAGTGATTGCAAAGCCCCATAAATATTCTTTTTATTAAGTTCCTGGTGTATTTTTCTATTTATTGTGAATAAAATATCTCTGCTTTTATCAAATAGTATAAAGAGCATCTTAGTATAAGAAGGATATTTTTTTTTTCAAAGTTTAAGGCAATTATATAAAACTACTACTTTTCATATAATGGAACATAAATTTATATTAAAATGGTACTTTTCATTTTTATGCATGTGAAAATGAATATATATGACAAGTTTTTGATAGAATAACTGTCACTAACTCTACAAAATAAGCAACTTAAATTACTATGGAAATTTTAACTGATATAGGCAAAATGGTTGAATCATGTATATTAATAAAGCCTATAAGACATTCTCATATGTTATTCATTTAGATTAATGGTTCCCATATTACCTGAGAATTTTACACTAGGTCAGCAGTTTTAAAACTTTAGCTTTATATCAGAATCACTTGGAAAGTGTGTGACAAATTTCTAGACCTTGATGCTGGAGCTTCTAAATGGGTCAGGTAAGGCTCATGAATTTCCACTTACTACAAATTCCCATTTGCTACTGCTGCCACTGGAGAGCCAAACTGCAAGTACCACCACATGGGAATAGGCAGCACTCCAGAGTGATGGAATGCTCTTCTGTTTTGTGTTCTATTTTGCTTTTTAAATGGACTTGGTTGTTACAGGGTTTCACTATGCAGCTCAGACTCATAGTGATCCTCCTGTTTTTCAGCCTCTCCAGTGCTACAATTTAGCATAGGCCACTATACTCCAGACTTTGTGGCCAGCTCAGCGGGCCCTGGTGTGGGGCTGGCACGGCATGTGGTGCCAGGAATGGAACCATGGTCCCTGTGCTTGCCTAAGTTTGTCTAAGCTTGCCTAAGCAGATGCTTTAATCCACTGAGCTATCTTACTGGCCTCTGCTTTGGTTTTTAACTGGGGCTCCACACTGAAATCATCTGTGGAGTTTTGAAAAAACTACTAACATGCTTATTTATTTAGATTGCCTTTCCTTCCAGTATTATCCCCTCCCAGAGAGATTCTGATTTTAATATGTCCATTGTACATATATTTTAAAACACATATCATGTCATTCTAACGTGCAAACAAGGTTGAGGAACATTGTATGAGAGTAAAATGATTTCTCTATATAACATAAGTAAATATACATATAAGCTATTGGGCAAGCACTTAAAAATCAATATGACAACATTTAATAAAGGTCTAAAAAATAACCTATGATACTGATATCTGAGGATATCTAACAAAATTTGAAACAATGACTATAACCACAGTCCATATCAAGAGATGAAAAAAATCTAAAAGAGTTCAAGCAGGACAGAGAACCAAAGATCATACTTAGAGCAGTTAAGAGACTAATAACCATCCTAAGTGTCTTCTCTAGATGATTCTTAAGGAGCTACTCAACTTGGTCTTTATCTGAATGATATAATGTACTTTAAAGGAGTAACAGAGGTCTTTTTCTTTAGGATGGCTTTGAGATCCCTAGGATTATAATACATATCTTAAGCCTACTGATAATCATTCCTACAGATTCACTTTATTAATAGTAAAAGGTATTTATAAAGTATTGTTAATAGACAATTTTAATGAGTTTGTGGTTTTCTTTTAGATCAATTGCAAGGTATGAACTAATGTGAACAACACACATATGATATATACATCAATAATTTCAACAAATTCTACCATACTGTTTTACATGCCAAAACTTCTGTAAGCTATGACAGACTTACATATTCTGCTCTTTAATAAGGGCTAAATCCAAAAATAATCAAATTCCTGTTCTCCATACCTAAAATGAGCAGGGGAAAATAAATCTGATCACAGCAAGAGGGATAAAGTTGTATGATTCAAAAAGTAAAGCATTGTCAGTTGTATACAATGAATTTCTCAAACTGTCAATTCGTCTCAATATAACTAACCAATGTGAAGCATATTAGAGCCTTTGGTTAAATTCCACATGTTCAAGCAATTCGTGAAATACAAGGTGATAAATTCTTTAGGATCTCAGTTAAACAAAGAGCCTAGAGTCCAGTCAATAGAAAAAAAAAAAATGCACCTGAATTAGTCCTTCCTGGGACTGTAATAATACAGAAATTATTGAACTGATTCTTGCTAGCCTAGCAAAGTTCCCAGCACATACCAATGCTACATATGTTTAAATGAAGGAATGAATCAATCTATTTTAGGTCAGTAAGGCTGATAGGTGGCCTGAATTTTGAAGATTAAGTAGCTTCATCTAGCATACTGATGACAAGCTCAAGAAAAAGTGGGTCTCCTACCCCCCATTTCTTTAGCTAAGAAAGTTAACATGGTTTAAAGGCCTTTCATTTGCTGTTCTCTTTTCTCCCTGGAAACTCTAGTTTGAGCCACTTTTCTCAAATGTGTGCTCCAACCAGCTTTCTATTAGAGCCTCAGGGACACTGTACTCTCTGGGCTCTGAGCTTTTTAATGCTTCTTGTTTAGCAAAGTCTATGACCTTTCTACATAGGTTTCATCTAGATTTGGTTTCCTTCAGTTGCCTCTCCTTCCAGTATTGTCCTTTCCTGCCTTCACCACCTCGCCAGCCTCATTTGGTTACACTTGTTTCATTTAGTATGTCCTTAGTTAGGCTGCATACACTTGGAAGGTGGCAGTGGTGGCAGTCATTTTTCACATTCCTTGTATCTCTTACAGTCTACAACGACGCTAGGTACATGGTGAAAGGTCAGTAAACATCTATTGAATGAATAACACAATGGTAGGCTTTTAAGAGAATGAAATGCAGTGGTCTTTATTTCACCTCACATAGAGATGCGAGTTCTAAAATATCAGTTGCAAGGCCTACCAAGGAAACTAAATGAGATTTTTCTTCTTTAGCTTCATAGATTACCAAGGAAAATGTTTAAACAATACTCAAAATTCCATTACATAAATTATATTTTTTTCTCCCTGAGACATCAGTTTATTTGAAACACTTGAAAACAAAGATAACTGTGACACTTTTAAAATAGAAATGTGTGCAACTAGAAATAGATTTATTTAAAAAAAAGGGGGGGGCTGGGGAGATGGCTCAGTGGAATAAGTGCTTCCCTGGCAAGCTCAAGGGCCTGAGTTCTAATCCCCGGTTCCGCAAAAAAAAAAAAAAAATATAGATAGATAGATAGATAGATAGATAGATAGATAGATTTATGCTAAAATTTGTTGGTTTTGATGTGTTGTGGAGGTAGTGGTTGTTACAGAAACCCTTTAATTACCATGAAAGAGTCTACCTGGGTTATTTTCTGATGTATGTTACATCCATATATCTAACATTAGATTTTTTATTAAATCCACAACCACATTCGTCAACCTACTTAAAAGCAGCCCCGTCAAAGAAAACGTTTGTAAGGATTCAGTTTTAAAATATAAATGTTTCTGGGTGACTAATCAGAGCTATGATTCTAAAAAGCTGCTCCTGCTCTTGCAAACAGCTCACCACAAAAAGCTGGTGGAAAATGAAAACCTCAGGGTTCTCATTAGGACTCAAGGTTTCATTCAGTGGCCTGACATTATCATCAACTAATCAGCTGCCTCTTCCTCGCCATTCAGCCTTTCCCAAGGGTTGGTGGTATTTTTCAAACTGAAGAAATCAATTTCGGTTTTTTTGTAAATCGGGTTGTTTTTTTTTCTAGAAACATTTTCTTTGTCCCATTACTACCCTTTCTCTGTCCTGTATGCGTGTGGTTGGAACTGTACAATCTGATATAATTCTGAGTTGCCCTTAATTCTCTGCAGCCCATCCCCACCGGTTTCTGGAATGGAACAAGTTTGTTGGATCAGGAGCTATCCGGAGGCTGCAAGCGCCCGGCTGATGGGCCCTTGGAGAGAAGCACCATCGCCAGGATCTGCTCCACAAGCGTTCTTTTCCCGTTCACGGGTGTGATTTTTCCTCAGGAGTTGCTCCGGTGTAATCGCCTCTATTTGGTTTTTCTGCCTCCCTCCCCCCAATCATCTGGACCCAATTTACAAACCCCAAACTGCCCAAGAATTTATGCAAGGCCCTTTCTGGGAGCGTCTGGAAGGCAAGTGTAAACCAGACAAGACAGAGGCCAGGAGCCTAGATGTGCTTTAATCTACGAGGTCGGTCACGGCTACTTGGGGAGAATTAGTCAGCCACCGGCCCAGCAGGGGAAGCTGGGGGCCCGCGGCCGCCCTGCGGGCCCTGGGTCCCTCTGCATCCTCCGGGATCGGGGGAGACGCGTCTGTTCCCTCTCAGCCGGGAAGGTCCTCAGGAAAGGAGGTTCTGCCTCTGTCTCCGGGCCACGGCCCTCTGCACGGCTTTGGAAGCCGCGCGCTCTGCGCTTCCCGGCGCTCGGGGCCGGGGCAGGAGCTGCACGCGGCCGGGAACCACGTGCGCACCCAAACACGCCCCGCCCCGGCCCGGCCGGCCGGCCCTCGCTCCCCTGCCCTCCCCTCCGCTCCCTTCCCTCTCTCCCCGGAGGGGTAGATGCTCCGCAGGGAACCGCCGCTGCCTCGGCGCCCCTTGGCCAGAAGCAAATGTGTGACCGCGCCGCGGAGACGGTGCCGTCGGCGAGGACCGCGCACCCTCTAGTCGCTCTTCGGCCCCCTAAGGGGACCTGG